GCTGTGGTAAATGCTCAAGAGCTGATAAATCCTGACCTAGGGCAGTGAGACCAGGTGTGTGCAAGTGTGTGTACATGTAAGGGAGGTGTAAGGTTTTAACACATTTAGGGATCTGATAGGCATTGTCTCATTCTGTTTGGACTGTTGTAAAAATACACTTTGCAACAATACACTTTACAAACAACAGAAATGTACCACTCACTGCTTACAGGTTGGCAAGAGAAAGGTACCTATAGATTCAGTATCTGGTCAGCGAGGTCCTTCCTCACACACGCTACTATATCAAGTGTAGAAAGGACTACTAAATGCCCTGAGAACCCTGTTATAAGGTCACTAATTCCACCCATTAGGGTGGAGTCTTCCTGACCTAATTATGTACTAACAACCTTACAACAGGCAACTTTTGGAGAGTCACAGACATTCAGATCACAGCAGTTGTGGATGCGGACAGAAAAGGCATTTAAAATGACCTCAGGAGTTTTGACATAACTGAATGGTGGTAAGGATCCACAATTTATTCCCACAATCTCTGGAGTCAAATGTGATTCAATATTCAGATTTTTTTTTTTTTTTTGAAGACAGAAAGGTTATATGGTTCACATATCAAACAGAAGAGTGTTCCTGAAGCAGGGCTTCAGGCAGTGTTATGTAACCTACCAAAGAAAGTTCTATTTCTGCAGCAAAACACATCCCAGTAGAGCAATAGATAAAGCCTTGCAGCAATTCACTCATATTCTATCCCAAAGAAGTTCAACTACGGCTAACAAATGAGTCACACAGAAGTTTCTGGTTTTCAGAGGCTAATTTTGGAATTGTGGAGAAAAGGTAAATGAATCCATACCCATTGACAGAATACTAGAAGTGAAATAGGTTGTTGGAAAGAAGGCTCTGGTTTGCATGTGTCTCATCCCAGTGATTATGACAAGTCAAAGATGTCCGGCAGGCAATCATGTAGGCAAATCTGGCGACTTAGAAATTGAAACAATTATGGAAATAAAAGGTGCTCCTGGGAAAATTAGCCTTTTATTGACAAAAATACAAGCCAAACTCAAAGAATAACTCAAGAAGTTTCATCTCACTGCAAAATTACAAATGACCCAGAATTCAGATTCCTACTGGTCTGTGCTTTGTCACAGGTTAATCCTCTTTGGTCTCTCGCCACTGCTGGAATTAACTTGAATTCAGTGTTGCCATGACTGTACATTAGTTATGTTAAAATTACCTTAATTATATACTACTGATTACTCTTGGTATTATGCAGATGAATAGTCATATAGGTAATTGACAATGTCAACCTGTCATTCCAAATATATTTTCTCAACTTTACGAACCAGAAACCTGAACATATTGGAAGATAATTCAGGCAATATCTATTTTCAAATTAAGAAATATGCTATCATTTTCTTTAGGAAAAAGAATTCCTCCACCAGGAATATGAAGGCAGGTTAATCCTAAAAGTTCTGTGGAAGGCTTAATGATCCAATCAGAGTTTACAAAATACTTGGGAACCTACAGATGACCTAGCAACTTAATCTCTCACACTAGTTTATGTTTGGGGGGATATGACAAGTGAACGCCATAACCTGCTTCTCGTACTTGCCGCATAACAAAAAGTAAAGATGTAAAATACTAGTAGAATACAAACCAGACAATAAACTGGGTTCCGTTTTCTCTGATAATCTTTTCAGGTCCCATTGAGGACTGTAATTCAGCCAATAAAGTTTAGCAAAGAACAGAGCTGCACATAATTATTTTTCTCTCCCAAACTTTTACTTGATAAATGTTACTTCAAAATCTCCAGGGGGAAAAAACCATCCCTAGTATTTCCTGCTTTTTCCTGCATTTAGTGTATTTAGTGCACTACACCATGCTGAGAACCCATTTAAAAATAATAATGGGCCTGGCGGCATGGCCTAGCAGCTAAAGTCCTCACCTTGAACATGCCAGGGATCCCACATAGGCGCCAGTTCTAATCCCAGCAGCTCTACTTCCCATCCAGCTCCCTGTTTGTGGCCTGGGAAAGCAGTCAAGGACGGCCCAAAGCTTTGGAACCCTGCACCTGTGTGGGAGACCTGGAAGAGGTTCCTGGTTCTCGGCTTCAGATAGGCGCAGCACCGGCCATTGCGTTCACTTGGGGAGTGAATCATTGGAGGGAAGATGTTCCTCTCTGTCTCTCCTCCTCTCTGTGTATCTGACTTTGTAATAAGAAATAAATAAATCTAAATAAATAAATAAATTACAATAATGTACAGCATGATCCCATGCAGTTTCTAATGTTTCAGAGATTTATTCTAGTCAAGCATCCCAGAATCTAAAGCCTGCAGTAAAGCTTTAGTTAGGATCATAGCATGATTTTAGGACAAAAGTTCGATTGTCTTTCGGATGTGTGTGACACACAACAGCATGGCAGAAAACTCAACCTAAACATTGTAAATCCAGTATAACAGTGATATTTTTGCATTGGAGGCTCCAAGGCCATTAGTGGTCAAAAAGTCAATCTTACGTGCTGAAACCAATTAAAAATATAGGATATCCACATTTTAAGCCAAAGAATATGTGAAACTTACTGCATTTATATGGGCACACAATAGACTTACTGAGTTGAAGCACAGAACGCGTTTATTTAAAAAAAAAAAAAAACCCGAGGACTACAGAGAAATGCTTAAAAATTACTTGGTGTTACAGAGGTAGGTTTGAGACAAAAAATCAAGAGTGTTGCAAATACAGAACACTAGGTTTCTGTCTCATAAAACATACTTGAAGTCAATATAACAAAAAAAATCAGAAGACTAAATGCTGCCATTGCCTCAAAAAAGGAACAGTGGCTTCAAGAAAGGATCCGAAATCATGATGCATGTGGTATCTCCAACACACCTGAGACCTCGAGGAGAGAAGAGCCTGACAGCCTAGGCTCCCTGGAGGCAGGCATGCCCCAGCCTGGCAGAAATGAGATTGAACTGGACGCTGGGTGGTGAGCAATCAATCCCCCTCCACAGTTAGAAAGGGTTGACAGACTACTGACAGGAAAACACGGCAAAAGTCTGAGGATAAGTGAGAATGTGGGTGGCAAAAAGTAAAGCTACAGGAGTTATTAGCCAAACCACTAGAATAATGATGCCATCTGCAGCATTAATTCACACGAAGGGATGAAGCTGGAACCTCTCTCTCAGCTTCAGTTGGATGGGGTCGACTACATCGCCAAGTCAGCTGGAGCTGGTGGAGACTGCTGAATTCCTGAAGTCCTTTAAAAAAAGGCCCGTCTTTCCTCTAGGGAAGCAATCCTGCTGTTTTATAGATAACAGGTGCACTTTCACTGTCTCTAACAAAATCCATGTAACATTTCTGCCTAGGCAGCGTGGTACAGATGGTCTGACAATACTTGCCCAATGGCCACTGAACATTAATATTCAAAACTAGAGGGAGCAACACTTATCTCCAGCTTTTAAACAGCAGTAAGCACATTAATTTCTCTGTAAGGAGACAAGACGAGCAGAGCAGGTGAGGCTCTTTCGAGAAATGCAAAAAATAGGTCCTGGTCGGATTCATAATTGTGCCTTTTAGATGTGCATTTTGTGGTGTTGCCCTTTTTCTTTTTTAACATTCTAATTGTACCTTCTTAAAAAAAAAACTGTACGTGCTACCTAAGGCATTTTAAATTAAATGTGCAATTTAAAATCTTTCATTTAAGGAGTGAAACTGCTAAGTTATCATTAGAAATTCCTATGAGGAAATATTGGTTATAGCAACATAAAAAGAAAGTTGCCCAGAATGTAAACATGCTATGTCTCAGATTTTAAAAGCCAAAGTTATATTTAAGGCAACATAATTGTTGAGTGTGACTTACAACCCTATGTATTTTATTCAAACTCAAAGAAAAACCTACACAATAAAGGCAACAGAAATTCCCAAATTAAAATGCAATAACTTCTTTTTTTAACGATGTAATTTGAGTTTAGATGCAGGATAACTTCTATAGCAAGCTATAACTTAGCTTTAAACGTTTTCCAGAAAACAGAAAAATTGGTAACAACGCTGCTCTAAAAATAGTTCTTTGATGAATTTGAGGAGGAAGGCAAGAAACTCCAAGATAAGAGCCGGTTTCACCCCAATTCTCAAACATCGGAAGAGCTTAATTGGGCAATAGAAGAATCCTGGCCAGGCACACCCAGGTTCAGACGTGGCATATCCTGAAACAAACTTTTTTTCTGACCCTTTGAGTCATATACCACAGGCGTTGACTTAAGTCAACAGGTCCTCGGATGAAAAAGCGGGCGGGCGGGCGGGCGGGCGGGCGGGCATGAGGGGAGTGCGTGGCAGTTGGGGTTCCTCTCACCAAGAAACCAGTGCCTCCCCCACGTCAGGCTGGAAAGTAGGCGCAGCTTGGGCGTGGGGAGCGCACCCGGAAAAGTGCCGCTTCCAAACCAACAGAGGGACGTCCGCGTCCCGACCACAAAGCGCTTTCCAAACCACTCGGAATCCTTGTAAATGGCTCGCTCCGCAGCCGCGGTTTCCAGCTCAGGGTTGTCTAGGGTTTAGGGAAAGTTGGCGGGCAAAGCCATGCCCTTCCCGATCGAGGGTTTGGCCCTACCCGGCACAGCCAGAGGACGGAGCGGCCACCTGCTAGCCCCCGGGGGTGTGGCGTGGGAGGAAGACATCCGCCTGGCCCACGCCCGCGGGCGCCCCACTCGGGACCCGCCCACCCTCAAAGCCGCAGCCAAGAGCAGACGAGCCCCCCCGTCGGACGCCTCTGGAGGGGGTCCCCGTCTCGGCTCCGAAGGAGTGACCTGTTCCCCTCGACCCCCCGACCTCAGGGCGCCACTCCCCTCCCTGCCGCCGAGGGGCAACTGAAATGAAGCTACTCTCGAGACGCCCTGCAACCGGCGGCGGGACCCGCGCCCTCTCCCCCTACCACGTGAACCTCCGCGGCCGTCTCTCCGCCCTTCACCGACGCTACCAGGGGGCCACCGGTGTCCCCACTCGGCCTCAGCCGACCCGCTTACCTGACGGGTGGGCAGGGCAGACGGGGCGGAGGGAAGCGGCGGCCGGCCGGGCGGGCGGGCGCTGGACCTGGGCCGAGCGCCAGGTGCAGGTGGCGGCGGCGGCGACTCGGGTTGCTGTCGCTACAGTTGCGGCTCGGTCGAGCTCCTCCTCCGCCTCCGCCTCCTGCTTCCCGCTGGGCCTCCCGCGTTGCCAGGAGAGGCCGAACTGAGCCTCCGCTTCCTCTTGGAGTCGCCCAGGTGAGCTCCAGCCTGCGACGTCGGCAGGGGCGAGGCCCCCGTGCCGCGCCTGCGCGCCAGCCTCGGGCCCCGCCCTAGCACTACCTGAGCGCCTCAGGTGAGGAGCGCGCCGTGACGCGCTGTGGCGGGGCCCGCGCGCCGGAGCCGCGTTCGTCTACCTTAGGGGACCCTCCGCATCCCGCCACTTTGTCACCTAAACACAGCCCGAGACTTTTGGGGGAAACCGAATCTAGATTTAGGTGGCGTGGGTCGTCTGAAGGAAGGGGTGCGCGGCCGGCCGGCCGAGGGCGAGCTCGGGGCCTCAGGAGACCGCGGCGGGGAGCGCAGCGACGGCTGGCCCGGGTGGTTTCCTCCAGCCGAGTCCGGCGGCTTTCTGTCACCAGCCGGGGGCTGTGCGCTTCCTTCGCAGGCTGTCTTGATTTCATCACTTGACTGACTTGAGTGCAGCTCGTGGTTTCCGTTTCTGCGAGCGGGCCACCCTGTGAGCCGGCACCTCACGTCCAAAGGAGGAGCCTGCCTGTCCCGAAGAAGAGGCTCGGGCATTTGGTGGAGCCTCGCCAACTTGGGGCGCACCTCCCCTTCCAGGGTCCAAAGTCAAAGCAGTGCCCAGCTGAGAAAGCAGGGAAAACAGAAAAGACCCCCCCCCCGCCCCCGACACACACACCCGACTGCCCTCGGGTGGAAAGAGACTGTGGTTTCCTGGACAGGGCTCACTTCTGTCGCAGGTTTGTGCAAAAACGCAGTGTGTCTTCCGGCGCGTGAGAATTCACATGGGGGGAGGGGTGGTGGGGTTTGCTGCCTTTGTAAAGACAAAAAAACTGGTTTTTTTTTTTTTTTTGGCTTAACGTAACTTTCCGTTTATATTGCTATGACCAAACACTAGCACATTCAAACCCAGAACTTGAAACGGTCTTGAGGTCCTTCCTATGGACTCATTCTGGGTTGTATTTCCAGCTGAAAACTTTTTGCTTGTATGTCTAATTCGGTCGCAGTAGGTTTTCCACAGAAGGTTAGCCCGTGGTCTTCCTCTAGCATTATGACATTCTCTGCCTCTGGTTGCTCCCTCATATTCTGTGCAGCTGAAACAATATGGTTTAAAAAGCTGTGCCATACACCATCAACGGGTGTCGCTTTACCAAGCTGGTCTCGGAAGCTGACTTTAGCATCCACAGAGCTATTTTATACTACAACATCCAGCACTGAGTTTAAAATTTTAGGTCGGTAATTCTTGTTTGTTCTTGGATGTTATGGTTATTTTCTAAGCAACAAGGAACCTTCTTTGAGTTTGTGACATCTGAGGATTAGTTCCCACCAGCAATTTTTAAACTCCTCCTCTTCCCCCCAAAATACCTCAAGAGATACTTGTCTGCAGTCATGTCACCAGTTTATCCTTAAGTACAGGGCAGAAAGCAGTAACTCTCCCAGTTTTGTTTTGTTTTGTTTTCTTCTTTTTGTTTTGTTGAAGAATTTTGCATCTTTGTCATTTTCCTTTGTTGTTGTTATTGTTTTAAGATTTGTTTATCTCTGCTTGAAAGAAAGAGGAAGAGAGATCCTCCATTCCCTGGTTCACTCCCCAACATGGCACAAGTCCAGAGCTGAGTATTTTGGAGGCCAGGAACTAAAAGCTTCTTGTGGGTCTCCCATGTGGGTGCAGGGGCCCAAGGCCTTAGACCATCCTCTACTGCTTGCCCAGGCCATAAGCAGGGAGATGTTGGAAGGGGAACAGCCAAGACTCAAACCAGTGCCCAGGCAGAGGATTTTAAATGAAGGCTAATGTTAGTCTTTGGGGAATGTGGGAGAAATCCTAGAGCTATAACCAAGAAATCTGTACTTGCCATGAGTGAGGCAGCAGCCAAAAATTGTCAGTGTTTTTATGTCCCACCAGACAAAGAACGACAATTGTTACTGACAATCAGGACACAGCAGATGGGTAAAGGATAGCAATCTGGAATCCAAGGCCTCAGAGGCACTGACAGCAAGACTAGAAACATCAAATGACAGCTGAAAAGAGAAGCTAGGGCAGAACTATAAAAAGAGAACAAGTAAACAGGACCCCAAATGCTGCGTGATGAGCCACAGAGAGCAGAAAAAAAAAACCAAAAACCTCAGTGATGAACAGTAGTTAGTAAACATTGGACCATCAGTTTTATGAATCTATGAGATTTGCTAAGGAAAGTGTTATTCCTGGCATTATTTATAATGTTTTATACAATACTGCTTGCAAAGTTTATATCATTCTGAAAGCAAAGGTGTGAAACTAATGAAAGTTTTCTACTGTTTAATAAAATTGAAATGCTTCAGGGCAAGAAAAATATCATTATGCTGAGATTAGAATCATGCAATAATTCTAATCAGTTGTAAGAATTTTTTAAATTGACATCCCGTCCAAAAATTAAGAAAAATAGTGTTTTATATAAAGGGAAAATTAGTATTTAGTCAGAAGGTAATCAGAAGCCGTAGTATAGATATATTTCTGAGAAATAAAAAAACTTTCTTTAATAATGCACACTGGATTTACAATGGCAAATAAGTTAAAAATTTGGGAATGTTTATCACAAGAAGAGAGACAAGTTTGTCTTTCTGTATATAGCTGTGTGTGTACACACACACAAAGAGGACTAGCCGCAAAATGTTCATATATGTGCTTGAAACAATACTTGGATCAAAAATTGATCCATCAATTACCATGGCAAAATTTTTGTCTTAATCAAATATGAATCTGAAGACTGCTGTAAATGCAACATTTTAGATAAATGATCTCAGAAACATAAGTCTAATATAGTGGAAATCCTAAGGACAAATTTTGAATAGCAATAGCTACTATTATTCACATGCCTATGTTCATAAGCTGTTACACAAAACAGCTTATAATATGAGAAGTTATTCTTTCTGGACTTAAATTTTCTCTTTCATATTAAGATGGCTGTACAAGATTAATTTCCTTTTCGCTCCACCTCATATGTATATATATGACAAGAGATTTCTCTTGCAAAAAATAAAAACCCCAAAGCCAACCTTCTGGATGTAGCAATAAAAATAAGCAATGATGAAATTGAAATTACTTGACTGAAATCAAAACTCATTTGTAAATGTGACTACATTCTGTATTGTAATGCGTAAAATTATGCAGATTCGTGAAGTCCAAAATCAAATGTTTATAGTTTTTTAACTTGCTGCTTACCTAGGACTGAACTGAGATATTTGGCCCACAGACTAAACGGATTGAAGTAATTTCCACTGAAAGAAGTAGAAGAACTGAAATAGTATTGATTCAAAAAGCTAGTAGTGGTGGTATCAGAAGAAAGAGCCACAAACAATGTGAGTATTTTTAAAATAATGATTCAACATGATCCCACATTGTGTTTGAAATATTAGAGGAAAACAAAAAATTGGAAACATAAAAGTTTGAGCTTTTATAAATACTATTTTAAATGAAAAAAATTTTTTGTCTTGAAGAATATTTTCAGAAAAACAACTTCAGATTTGCAAAAAAGTACACTTTTCTAAGAGGACATTTATTGACTTAAATTGCAATAGGATTATGTCTTGTTAATCTTGTATCCTTAATGCTTGGCACATAGTAGGTGCTTAATAAATATTTGATGATATATATTGGATAGAGTGCAGAGTGTCACGCTTGTAAGCATTAGCGTAAGAGGCAAAAGAGATGCCATGCTGAGTCAGACTAATATTCCATCTAGCCAGCTCTAAATTCTGACAGCACCAAAGGGATATTTTATGCAAAGCCATGATAATAATCTTGGCATGATGTTTACCTCTGATATATTACCCCACGTGTCCTCAGCTGACTCTTTTGACTAATCTCTTTTCTATAAGCCTTTTATGAACATCTGAGCAATTTATGTTCATTACAAAAAGATCAATTCATACAGATAAATTAGTTTGGGACTACTCAGAATTTCTTGTACCAAGATCAGGACTATCAGACTTTTTCTATTATGTCTATTTTCAGATTTATTGTTGTTAACAAAAGGGGGGAAGTGGAATAATGTATAGAGAAATAAGCAGACATATTCGTAAAGTAAGATTGGGGAGCTTGTTTTGTAAACAAAGTTGAATAGGTAACGTATGAATCCATGTCAGTAAGTTTGTTTTCCATCATGATTTTGAAAAGCACATGGCATTCTTTTGTAGGAAATATAATCAGCCACTTATTTTGGGACAGGAAACAATGCTTCCAAATTTTGCTATTGCAAGCAGTTCTGTGGTGATCACACTGTTCAGCTGTTGAAACATTTATAATAATTTTATTTATTTCCATTGGGCAAATTGTTGGATAGCAGATAAAAGGACAGTGAGTTGGTTATCATATGGTTTAAAAAAAAATGGGGGAGGATGAAATGGCTTAGAAGGAGGAGGAGACATTTGGGCAGGCAGTTAAGATGCCTCTGTCTTACATCCAAAGTGTCTGTCTTTAATTCCCACTGCCAGTTCCTGTCTTCCCAATAAGGCTGACTGTGAGAGGCGGCAGTGGTGGCTGAAGTAAGAGTTCCTACCATGTGTTGGGGAGATGTGCATTTGCTTGCTGGCTTTGGCCCTGGTCCAGCGCAGACATGGCCATTGTAGGGATTTGCGGGAATGTAACCAACAGATGGAAGTATTCTCTAGTGTGCTTTCTCCCTTCTCTTCCCCCTTCTCTGCCTCTGTCTGCTCTTTCCCCCTTGTTTTTTCTCTCCTCCCATCCCATCAGGTCTGCCTCTCAAGAGAAAAAAAAAACTTGGGACATGATTAAGGAAGGCAAGAATAGAGGACAAAGTCATCATTCACATTAGACATCCTCTGAAGG